CAATAAGGGGAAGGGGGTCCCCCTAAAGGAACCTCCCAAAGAAGCCGCGGTCACTGAAAAGGCGGTTGCAGAAGGTCAGCCAGGAGGAGATGAAGAAGTCGCTCTCGCCGGTATTCTGGCGATTTGGATCGTTTTTGGGGAGGGCCCCCCTGACGAGGTCCAAGAGGTGAGGGTCGGGATTTTTTTTTTTCAGTTCCGCGGCTTCAAGGTGGAGCGCGGTGAGCCATATGCAGGTCTTCCCCGTTTGGGCCAACCCCTTGAAGTTCGGAGACCCCCATGGATAGTCGCCCGGGGAGGGGGTTTTGAGGGCCACCCCTTTGGAATCCCCCCCCCTTCCCCCCCCCCCCCCCCCCGCCGCCGCCGCCGCCGCCGCCCACCCGCTCTGCCACCCGCTGAGAGCCGCCGCCCGCTCGGCGCCCCGGCTCGCAGGTGCGGCTGGTGCCGGGCAAGGCGGGGATTGCCTTCGTCGAGTTCGAGTCGGAGATGCAGTCGGGCGTCGCGATGGGCGGACTGCAGGGCTTCAAGATCACGCCAACCAACCTGATGAAGATCACGTACGCCAGGCGGTGAGGGCGGCGAGCCGCGCATGGGTGGATGGGGCAGTGCTGCGGGAGCGCTCGAGTCGCCCCGGCGGGCAGCAGCAGGGGGAGAGGCCCTCTTTGCGGTGCATTTTATGGTATGTCACACCGACGTCTCTAGCTTCTAGGCTCCACAGAGATGTGTGCAAAATGCATGCGTACGCTCAATATCGCTACGTATGCGTTTTTCGGAGTTCGCTTTCGTGTTTCGGCCTCGGTGCCGCCATGCTCTGGCCTCTGTCTGGGGCTCCAGTCCAGACGGCGCGCAGCGCGGCTGCTCCAGTCTGGGCTCCTCGTCCCCCCCCGCGCCGCCGCGGCCGGGCTGCTCGTACTTTCTCTGCTGCATGTTCTGCTGCCGCGTGCGGTCGGAGGTCGGACCCTCTCAGCGTGGCGTTGGCCGTTGGGCGTTGCGTTGCGTCGAGTTGCTTTCTTGCGAGTTGCGCTCTCGGGGCCCGCGCGCCGCGGTCCGATCTGCGATCTTTTGTGCACCAAAGTTTGCCCATACGACGGCAAACTGGCTCGGGAGGCGTCCCTGATCGCATACGGGCCACAGAGGAGAGACGGAACGGTCAGCTGGGCAGGCGGACAGCGCAAGCTACGCGGGCTCGTGCAACAAGGGCTCGAACGGTTCACCACCTCCGCGAAGCCATCACGAGCGCGGGGCACGACGTCGGCAACCTCATCGTCCACATGCCGGAGGAGCTACCGCGCGCGTGGCCGTGGGAACACGGGGGCGCGTGGACAGAGCTGCTCGAGTCTACCGGAAGGGCCAGCGACGGCGGCGGCTCCAAGCTGCAAGCCACCAGCCTAGGCGCGATCATGCGAGTCAGGAGCGGACAGCTCGGGCTCGGCGAACTCGACTACAAGGACGACGCCGGCAGGGCGGCCATGGAGGCGCTCGCAGAGGTCTGGAGGGCACCCAGGGGACGCCAGCTGGCCGGAGAGCTCGTCCACAGCCTAGAGATGCTGTACGATATCATCGAGCGACCCGAGGGCGGCGGCAGCAGCGCCTACAAGGGAGCAGTCAAACAGGCGCTCGACGTCGCCGCGGCGCTCACCACGGCGGGCAAGAACCTACCCAGCGTCGAACAGTGGCGGCGGTTCAGGGCGGCGGCGTCGGGAGCCCTCCCCGCCCCGACACAACGCGAACGAGCGGCCACGAGTGGCAAGCTGCGCGCCTGCGACACGGACACGCTAGCCTCTGCGCTCTCTGCGCTGAACGCCCCCACTGTGGGCGCGCATACGGCGCTCGTGCGGCGACTGGTGATGATATTTAAGCTCATGGGCAAGCCAGAGTCGCTGCTCCAGCGCTGGTCGATGTCGACTCTCCGGGCGGTGGTTGGCCCGGGCTGCTCGAACCACGACAAGGCCGTCTTGGTGCACGACCTCGTTTCGCGCTTCTTCCCCGACGAGGCCGGGTGTGACGGCGACTCTCCGCTGGATGCGGTTTCCTCGTAAGCGACGCCTTCATGCTTTTGGTCGTCGTCAAGCGCCCGCGCCCAAGCGTAGTCGGCGGAGACAGCCCCGCGTTTTGCCATCGGATCTCTACGTCTAGAGCCGCACGGCTCACAAGTCCGTGTGCGAAAGCGTTGTGCACTTAAGTAGTGCGGAGTCTTGCTGACCCTGCGCAATTGTACTATTATTGTATATTTCTCTGTTTTACGCCCTCACGATGACACAACCCACATGATTAATTACTTGTGTCGCGAATGTTCAAACAAGCGGTCGACCCGGATCCCGGTCGTGTCGTGCAGCTCGGGGTGTTGGGGAGGTTGTGGGAGCCGCTCAGGACCATTTGGGGGGCGCAATTTGCCTGGTTTCCCTTGAACACGCAGTTTCGCCCCCTCGGAAGCGCCCACATAATCGCGCGTCCCCCCCTGTGGCGACGGTCTCGCGCACCTGCGCCAGACCCCACCGGCCACCGCACTAGCTACATAGATCGTCAGCAGTAGGCGTGCTCAGAGCCCGGATTTGGGCCCATTCGCCAGAGGGCTCGAGAATGGCCCCCGGCAACGTGCAGCTGCAGGCCAGAGGGCGTGAGGTGAGGCCGAATCCGCAGTCGCACGAGCACCGCTGCCCCCAGCGGTGATCATGCATGGAGTGGCACGGCGGATAGATACGCCCGCCTGCGAGCGTGGGAGACAGTCGCGGGGCGTGAAGTCTCAATGTATCGCAGGCTAGGACCGGATACGGCGGCGCGGGAGAGGGAGAGAAGCGTGAGCGGCGGGCGATGAGAGTGATTTCCCCGATCTCGCTAAAAATGGCCTAGTCCCCTCACGGGGGACCGGGCGAGCACGCACCTCGCGTCTGAGCGCGAGTCGACGAGTGGTCGCCGAGAGATCGCCGAACCACTTTCGAGTGCGCGCGCACACAGCACAGCTGCGGGTTGTAACTCGACTGCCGATCGCGCGTGCGGGATGTAAATGCAGCTTTCTGGCGCCAGGTGCACGGTGGCAGGGACTGGAGGCTCGGCCAAAGGGGAAGAGCAGTCCTCAATCGTCACGTAGAGGTCGCTGGGCTGGATCCATCGAACTGCCACACACCTGGAGCGGAGGCACATCAGGTCTTGCGGCACGCTCTCCGACAGATGCATGCCTTTTGAGCAAGCCCACGCGCCTCCACCGTCGCGTAGTATGCCAGCGGCACGCCGCCCTCGTGGCGTCCCCGCCACCATCGCCGCCTCCGATGCCCACGGACGCGGCGCCCTTTCCCGGCGTCACCAGCGAGTACTTCCCGAACCGCCGCCGAGTGTATCGCCAAACTATGTACCACGGCGTGCATGATGACAGGGAGGCGGGGCCGGGGCGCCTCCGCCTGTGGTTCCCAGGCGCCACAAGTGGATGACGTGCGTCTAGTGATCCAGCCGACGCGCCCTTCGGCCTTAGCGCGGAGCTCGACCGTGTGATGGTGGCCGAAGTTGGCTGGAACGGCCGCCTGTCCCGAGCTGGGGCCATCTGATGGACGCTCTCTACATCTTCCCGCGTTGCCTCCAGTGAGTGTGAGTACACACCACACACACGTTGCCTCCAGCTCATACCGTCCGTCGCCGCCGAAGTGCTAAGTAAGCGACGACGAGGCGCGCCACGTGCTGCGCGCCGCCGTGCGACAAAATGCCGGGAATTTTGCGGAGAACCCGTGTATATTGCCTCAGATTTTGCCCCAGACCAGCTCTCAGACTCAGGGAAACTCGCGAGTTTCCAGAATGGAGCACCAAACACCCTCTGTTATCCCTGGAATTTCCGGAAACGCAAAGACCAAAGTGCTGGGGACGCTCTTGTGGAGCACTTGGAGTGCAGTTCTGTTTTCCTTTTTGTTTGCCGGAAAACCTTTACAACGAACTCTCTCGCACAACACTGGTCTAGTGCCAGTGCGCGCCAGTCCCGTGCCCAGTGTTGTGGCTTGTGCGAAAAAGAATTTCAACGGTTTTGTGCGAACATTTACACTGACAAGTGCGGACTGAAAAGTCCAGCCGGCCGCGCGCCTAAACTCCTAATGCGGCCGCTAGCCGCTGCGCCCAGTTCTTAGTCCTCGACTTAATCGACGTGGAGGGCACGAAGAGCCGCTGCGAAGGGACGTCATCCTGCGCTGATATCAGACAAGGCTCGTGCACGACCGTTGCGTTCGCACGGCCGCCCGCGCTTTGGTTCCTCGCACACCACGGGTTTGCCGTTTCCCACCATTTCCCGCCCTCGCCTACGCGCGCAGCGCCGAAGCTCTGCCCCGCGCGCTGAATGCAGCGGGCGCTGACGTTGTGGTGCCTGAGAGCAAGAACCCGTCAAATGAGAAAAGCGGACGCGCGCTCGTGCCAACGCCGCACATGCTCAATTTTGGTTTCCCGCGCAGCCGGCCGGTCCGTGTGAAGTGGTTGACGGTCGTGCTCGCGTACGCGATGTCGCCGCATCGCCACGGGTCGAGGAAGCTGAAGTGCGCGCCGTTCAGCACGTGAAGCGAGCACTCCCCCTTTTCCGCCGCCGCCGTCAGGAGAGGCTGGTCGCGCGACCCTGCGGGAGCGGCTTGAAGCCGCCTGCGCCACGCGTTCAAGCAAGCGGACGACGCGGGCGTGGTGGCGGCGAGGTAGAGGCCAGCGTGGTACCTGGGGGTATCTGTGCTGAGGGTGCGGAAGGAGCCGAGGTGTGTGTGACGTGCCGGTGTGCTGTGCGGTGTGTGTGCCGCTCTACTCCTCGCTCCTCTCCTCCCGCTCTCAGCGCCTCCGTTCTTGTGCAGGGCACCTCTCCAAATCGTGGCCGAGCCCCTTAGGCTGCGCAAAGACAGCGAGTGACGCGGAGCCGCTGCGCAGGGCAGACGCAGCCGCATCGAGGATCGGCCACGCCGGAGCTGCAAAGATAACGTCAGCATCAATGTAAAGAATTAGCGACCGCCGGGCCAGTCGCGCCGATACCAACAACGGAGCACGCATCTTGAGCAATTTGATGTGCTTGGCGGTCGGTCGCACGCAGCTCACAGTGATTGCTGTGGCGCCCTCGGGCACACACGCAGGCTGGTCGGTCAGCGCCAGGACCCCGCCGCGCCAGCCGCCAGCATCACGGAGCGTCCTCACGGAGAGGGCAAAAGTGCTCTCGCGCGCGGCTGGGCCAAAGGCGACGTAGAGGGCGACGGCCGGTGGAGCTGGCATGAAATGGGCTAACAAGCTGTTCAATGTCGGCGACTATGGCAAACAAAACGACGGGCCACATGCCCCCCAGCACCCGAGGTGCCAAGGGCACAAACAACAGCAGGAACAAGACAAACAAAGGGATCCCCTCAGCGCGTTTTCTTCTTGAGGGAGCAGGATTGCGATCTGCGCTGAGGGAGGGTGTAGAGGACCTCAAGAATGTCGAGTGGCTCGTTTGCAGCATCCTCGGAGACGTCACGGCGCTCGTCCGCGACGTGCTTGGCTCGGTGCTGCACGAGCTGTGCGTGATCCTGGAGGACGTGGCCGTGTTTGTGTCCTCGCTCGGTGGCGTCAACTGCCTCGTGTCGGCCATCTTCCAC